AGCCCTTAACATTTGAATTTTTTTGTATGTCATCTGCCTTTTAATCCATGAAACTGACTTCAGTCAAATTTTTGTCAACCTTGCCCTATGAGTATTTCTTGTCTTTACTGTTGAAAATAAATAACATGTATACTGCATACTCGACTTGCGTTTCTTTTGCGCGTGAGTATATAAATACGTAGTCTTGGAAAGGTAATTGATGGAAGTAGTATGAATCCAGAATCTAATGGCCCCAGAAGTGAGTCGACTAACATAGGAAGGTCTGCGACTATTGTAGCCAGAGTATGTCCCTTTAGTGCGGATTTAATAGAGAGCGATCTGAAGGAGTGGGTGAAGTTGTCCCCGGTACTACGGAACTGGATAGCGAGACAAAAAAAAGCAGGTACAGAGAAGGAAGATGATCGCCGGGACACACAATAGCGGCGGAGGACGCAGAGAAAGAAAAAGAAGGCTAGAGAAGATAAAGGGAGAGGTACCAAGCAGGGGAAAGGAAATAGTAAAACAAAGGGAATACCTGGCAAATGGAGATTTGAGAAATTAAAATAGGTTATCTGAGTAGGAATGCATAGGTTTAGATGTATAAATTGGAGAAAATAGTATGAACGCTAACATTCTACCTAGGGATATGACCCGTGAAGATTCCGGGGTAGACTAGGTCTTCAGCAACCCATGCTTACCGTAAAAGGCGACTATGCTTGTCGTAAAAGGCGACTAACGGGATCGGGTGGTCAGGCTCGCTGGCTTGGTTGATGCATGTCATCGATCCCAATTGCGTGGATCGATGCTCATGATATCAATCACTAGATTGTCTGGTCCAGACTCGATTATTTACAGACTGCCGTCATATAGCTGGAATATTGCTGGGTGCGGCGTTAAACAAAAAAACCAAAACCCACTACACTAACACCATTGCCCCCGTAATTACTAAAGCCTCTATCTGTACGCGTCCTATCTTTACCACTGTAACTAAGCCTCCCAGTTCTTTTCCAGGGAAAGATTAAGGAGGGAGAGAATACATAGCAGGGGAAGAAAGAAGAGATTACCTAAGGGTTAGGAGGATAAGGACGATAAGTAAAGAGTAAAATAAGTAAAAGCAAATTAGAATGGCGGAAGGAAATGAAAGAGTACCCGATCTTCCCGCGGATTTAGTGGCTACCCATTTAACCAGAGTAGAGAAGGCTATTCAGGCACAAGGACTGCCGCAACAAGTAAGAAATTATTCGGGGGAGGGATATAAACGGTTTACTGACTGGCTAAAGGATTTGGTTTGTTGTTTTACGCCGCACCCAGCAATCTTCACGGGTCGACTGGCTAAAGGAGGTGGACAAGGCCTGCATTTCAGTTAGCGCTCCCGACAAGGCTAAGTGCACATGCACTAACCATACAGACGGCAGTAGGACCAGCAGCGGATTTCCATGTGAGGAAAGTTAGGGAAAACCCCGACATTTCCTGGGCTGACTTAAAAACGGCCCTAAAAGACAGGTTTAGCGACCTAAGCGATGTGCAATACGCACAACACAAACTTAAAAAACTTAAGCAAGCATCGGGAGAAGTAGTGCAAGGGTATGCAGATTTACTCATGTCGCTAGCAGATGAGTGCAACAGTGCGGCCGAGCGAAATTCCCCGATTATTCAAGGAAAATTGGTGGATATATTCGTGTTGGTCTCCGTGAAAACCATGTAGCGAGAAGACTAATTAGGGAACATCCTACGGACCTAAGGGACGCTGTGAGGAAGACCTAAGGCGGCACAGGGAGGAAACCCCTATGGAAGTAGACACTTTAGGAAAAGATGCTAGGTATGAGGCCCTGCAAAGGCAGACGGAGGCTCTGACTCACAGGACAGAGATGCTGGCGCAGAGTATGGAGCGTATATGTTATCCTTGAACATAGCGCAGACTCACCCTAGTCACCATGTGGGAAAACCACGACCGACTAGCTACCAGGGGGCGCCGCATAATGGATTTAAGTTAGATACATCATTTTTTTAAACTGACCCTCAATAAATTACTGAATTTGACCCGATATTTATGATACATTGAGCATAGATTGACATCAGTTAAATTGAGACTTCAGCCGAGTTGGCGGCCATCTTGGATTTTCAGCCACCAGGGGGCGCTGCTGAGGTGGATCCATATCCAGAAATGTTCGGGATGGTTCAATGTATAAGTGTGCCAAGTTTGGTGCTTTTAACCCAAAGTGCACAATTATGACTAAAATCCAGCCTCAACCGCCCCAAACAGGCCAGAGATAAGCCAGTCGCAAGGACAGTCTAACGAACCCAAGGGGAGGGGTGCAAGCGGATCAATGTGGTGACCGGACGACCAGGGTACCCGACTGCCAAATCAGAGCCGACTATAGTCATCGAGGTTTCCAAAGCACCCCAATTTATGAATGGGCTCACGACGGGTCGCCCTTATGCTCCTACTGCAGGGCAGTGGGACACACCCAGAGGAAGTGTCGGCGTAGATATAATGACAGACCGAACCAGGGAAACTGTTAACCCTGTTGACCATAGCCGTAGTCATGCAGGGAGTAAAGACACGGTTAACGAAGTAACTGGAAAAGAACTGGGAGGCTTAGTTACAGTGGTAAAGATAGGACGCGTACAGATAGAGGCTTTAGTAGATACGGGGGCAATGGTGTAAGTGTAATGGGTTTTGGTTTTTTTGTTTAACGCCGCACCCAGCAATATTCCAGCTATATGACGGCGGTCTGTAAATAACCGAGTCTGGACCAGACAATCCAGTGATTGATATCATGAGCATCGATCCACGAAATTTGGATCGATGACATGCATCAACCAAGTCAGCGAGCCTGACCATCCGATCCCGTTAGTCGCCTCTTACGACAAGCATAGTCGCCTTTTACGGCAAGCATGGGTTGCTAAAGACCAATTCTAGCCCGGATCTTCACGGGTACAAACTGAATGAGGTCACTTTGTATTGGGGGGCACGGGTGGCCCAGTCGTCTAAGGTGCCGCGATTCGCTGTGCAGAGTTGTGTCCCTTGGGCACGCCAGAAACCTATGAGTGTGGGTTCGAATCCCGATTCGCCCCGATTATGTTTCTAGGTTTGTCAGCACCATACCCGTGCTCGTGGGTTTCACCGAAGTGGTAAACGTCTGAGACCTGCATCACTTCGGGCTTTTCTCCCACATGCAGCTGACACGCCGTGATATAACCGGAATACTGTTAAAAACGGCGTTAAACCCAACTCACTCACTCACTCACTTTGTATTGTAATGCATGATCTGCGTGGGAGACAAATACGACCTCTTACTGAAATGTACTACGAGTTCAGGTTTGTATCTTCATATTAATGTGTTGAAAATGAGAATAATGAATAATAAATAGAATAACCCACATGGTGCTCGTGATTACGGAGTATATGGCACTTATCAATCAACATAGTTTTCACTCGTGACACATTTTCCGTAATCATTAGTACCTCGTTGGATGTTCAATAAAATCTTCTACTCCAATACGATACCTCTCTGGAATTCAGAGTTTTTACTCCGACACGATATACCCCTCTCCGTGAGGCAGAGATGAATTGTATCGGAGTCAAATATTTCATTTTAATGAGTTTTGAACATATCCAATTTCAATTAAAATGGAAATCTTAACACTTTTCGACATTTTCCATCAGAAAAAATGCCGTTATGAAAGAAATGTATAACAACCCCTGTATATTTAATGTAATTATCGGATTCCTACACACGTTTTTAACGAATATAGCATAAAGCATTAAAAATATTTTAACCTACACATGCAACCAAACGCGTTCCCGAACCCCTCTCATAATGTTTATACTGCACGAACATTTAGTCTATGAAAACATTTCTTTAAAATAATTGTTGTAGTTTTTTTCAGAAGAGCCTTTCCTCCTCTGCAGTTAACGCTTAGTAGAGACAATTTATGGATAACAACTTCTTTAATTACTGTAAAGGTATAGATCCTTACACCGTTGTCAAGCAACACTTAGTCAATGAAAACATTTCTTTTAAGATAATTGTAATTATTATTAAAGAACCTTTCCTCCTCTGCTGTTTTCATCAAGGACACTAGACTTGGTTTAGTTTGATCTAGACTTGCCTATATATATATTCCACAGTCATGACGCAGGACTATGTTTTTACAAGTTTTGTTTGTTGTTTAACACCCGTTTTTACAAGTATAGCGGTCGCAAGAAAAAAATTACGCTCAAGGAGATAAACCAATTATTGGCAGGACAAATTCTTTTTTAGAAAGAGTGATAAAATACTGACTTGCATGCCATTGCAAGCTGTCAAAGTTGATCATGTATCAATCTCAATTTGAATGTTGTTGAACCAGGGTTATGGTGGTGTTTGACAGAGATAAATGAACCTTTTGAATTGCCGTAGCTTTTTTCAATAGCATTGCACTGCGTATTCAAATGCAAAAAAAAGATTTGTGGCTATTTTGCTAGAATTTATTATTTTATTCTTTTTGTGCTGCCCATACATGGGGACTACGAGGGGAGTGCAGGGGTGTATAAACACCCGTTTTCGAACAGTACTAATCACGTTGGCGAATAAAAATACAAAATATAGAGTGAGTGAGTATGGTTTTACGCCGCTTTTAGCAATATTACATCACGGCGGGGGACACCAGAAATGGACTTCACAACAAAATATAGAAGTTAAGAAATGGTAACAAGCTTTCAACGTAACAGTTATTTGTCTTAGTATAGGTAAGCAAACGCAAATTGTTTTCCGAATTATATACTAGCAGTTTATGACGTATGTCCACCCCCCCCCCCCCCCCCCCCCCCCTCAAAACGGCAAAAAATAAGCTGATTTTAGGAAACGATTGCCAAGTATATTGATAAGATTGGATTAACCCATTTTTACGAAATCCCAGTTCTGATCTGGCATGTTTTATCTCTTTCCGTCACCTCCGTCATCAATTCCAATGAATCAACATTTTCGACAGTCCATTATGTTTTTTGTAGCGGTTGGCACTTGAATTTTCGACCTGACGTCACTTCCGTCAAATCGAAGGAACACCATCAATCTACCCGTTGAGGAGATGAACATGAGCTAATATTTTCTTTCAATGGTTGGCAAAGTAAATAACCTTACATTTATCCAGGTAATTGTCAAACTGATTTAAATGTATTATATAATTGATATTACTACTACATCATGATTGTGTGACACAGCTTGTGGCAATGACAAACTTATTTCACCCATGATGATGGTCCCTATTTTCGGTGCATTTGCATTTGCGCGCTTGTGTGCAAGATCGATAATATTAAGTGCTTTAAACACAGTTAACTTACCAGTGTTTGTAGCCTGATGTGCAATACATGCGATGTAGTTACAAGGTGGACAAAAAAGGAAGGAAAAGTCGCAATCTAAACTTTTTGAAAGAATGTAGATCTACCAATCACAAATTCGCGTAGTTGCAGCTGGTTGGTTACCGGTGGGCCTGATGTAGTTTTGCCGTGAGCCGCGATGGGATCAGACAATCAAGACATGTAGTAGGGTTATGTCTTGACTGTTGGACCCAATCGTAGCTCTCGGCTATGTAGTTTATGAATATTGATTCTGATTTTGTCAAATATATCTACGTTTTTGAGAATACAACTCAGTGTTCACATACTGGTAATCATGGTTATGACCCTCCATTTCTGAGCAACGTGAAATAAGCTGGTCATTGCAAGTGGACCCATCATTTTCACAGTTAGCAGGCCATCACTTGCCCAGCAGCACAGGCCCATGAAGCAGGACAGTGATATTAAAGGGGGAAACGCTGCAGCCGAATATGAAAAGAAGTCCCTTGTTTTCCGCAATATCACTGTCCTGCTTGGGGCCTGCCAACAAACAGAAGGATCCTGATCAGTCTGAAGATCATTAGTGTTATCAAATACAACCATCAATATTTCTTACAGGGGACGGGCAGTCAGGTAGCTTGTGGTTAAAACGTTTGCTCGTGCTCAGTCTAAAGCGGCACCTCAGCAAAACGTCACCGATTTCTCTGGCGAAAACGGCTACTATGTGTCGGGCAAAAACGGCACCTCTATTTTTCATAATGATAAAAACGATTTTTGTAGTAATATATATGGTTTATTTACATGGTCACAGTTATCACATGATACAGCATGTTGTTTTTTATCTAACCATGATACACGATATGGCTGAAATATTGCTGCTGTGACTTTAAATAATAACTCACTCACTCACTCACTCTAACCATGATATCACTCCCAAATGTATTATTTGATTGTCTATCATATCATAACCTTCGTGAGGTGGTGACATGTTTAATAACAGAGTAAATGTTTTGTTAAATAGCTATCTTGGCCACTTCTGAACACAGTGTTTTCCTACAAAATAGCTAAATGTCTTAACCCCACATTTTACATAGATGTTATTTCTGAGGAAGTCCAGCCTTTCAAATACTGTAATTCTGGCAAGTTTTGCAAGAAGGAAAAATTACGAGCGACACACACTCGCAGTAGGGGTCTAATTTCTTACTTGTTTTATTTCACAATTTCACAAATATGTGTGTTTGTAAGAGACGATGTGAGTTTAATTTCTGTTATTTTCACCTAAGGTGTGCAATTCGCTGTCCAGTGCTGTGCACCATCTTCATGGTGATTCCAGTTTAAGAGAGCCTTTTAATACTGACAGATTTTTGGCATTTATATTTTTCTCTATTTCCATGGAAACAACTTATTCTCATACGGGGGTGTATTTCGTTTCCGGAGCACAACTCAAAAACGTTCAATATCTTTTAATGAAACTTGGCAGATGTATTAAACAGATGCTGAAGTGGTGCCTTTTGCTATTTGCGGATTTTTTGCATTTTTATTTTTTTTTATTTCCATGGAGACATTTAGACTTAGTCTCAAAAGGGGGGTGGGGAGAAGGTGTCATTTCCTGAACTTCAAACCGTGAAAGACTCTTCACCCAAAACTGGTACATGTATTTACCAAGGGCTGAAGAAGTGCCTTTTGCCATATTGGAATTTTTCAACATTTGATTTTTCCTTGTTTCCATGGAAACAAATTAGACTTTGCTGAACCAACAGAGTTTTGACTCTGCTCATAGTGGTGTGTTTGTCCGGATGTTATGTGTTGGGGAGAAATCTCATAAAAAATCTCTCCCCCCCCCAGCCTTAAAATCCCCCTATTTGTAGGTATGAAAAGCCCTCCTTCCACACAGCAATATACGGTATACCTGATTTCATGATGTTATGTGCCACTAGCGTAAAGGGGTCGCATTGCCTGTTACGCTGTTTTTACCAACTCACGAGTTCTTGTCTTCACGACACCAGGCAGTGACATGGATTCTTTGTTGCTATCGCTGTTTAACACCAGCTTCCTCGTGTATGTCTCCCAGTTGTAGTCTCTACAGGCTGGGGTATCTGTGCCCCTCCTTCCAACTGGGGTATAAATGCATAGTGTGAGATAGGATAAGTTTAAAAATTTGTAAATTCAATTGTATATTTATATACTTATCCCACTTATATGCCCACCTGACCATCCCTGCATCACAGCCCCTCTAGTATTCAGGTGATCAAGTCGTGAAAGGTCACACACATACACAGAAGATTACAGTGTGTGACCCATTTGTTTGGGTAGTGACCATGGTGATGCTGGGATGTGTTTGGGTGAAAAGTTTTCGAAGCTGGAAACTTTGTTCTAGCACGTTTCGACATAGGCATTTAAAGAAGGAAGGAATGCAAAGAATGAGATAGGATAATTATATAAATATACCATTTAATGTAAAATTTATAATTTCAGCATCATTTGAGTCAATGAGGTTTTCCAAGAAAGCAAAATTGACTTTTTGTATTTCTTTGTAATTGAAATATCATGAGTGTAGAAAATATATACAGTGTCACCTAAGTGTCAAACACTTCCAAATGAAAAGTTCTGCTTTTGAAAATTACGTTACTGTGCCAATTTTATTGGAGTCTACAAGCCCAAAATCAGCTTGTGGCATCATTTTAATGTTATGAAATGGTATTTTATTAACTGATCCGGCTAGACCGAACAGACTCAGGTTTCAGACTTGTGGCCAAACCAGAAGGCTGGTTACCTGTAAACTTGATCTGGATGGTACTAGAAGCATGACAAGATGGAATCCTACTGTGTTAAGACATCAGACATTCCCTTGGGCATTGAATGGTCGGTCCCTAATTGGATGTTTTCTTTGTTTTCAGACTACTTAATGAGACAAATATGTCCGACAATCGCGTAGCAATGGATGGAGATGTTGAGAGAGCGGATGAAACAATGGAGGACCTGGAGAAGACAATCCTCAGCATGTGTTCCGGCGTGGGGCAGAGGTCTCCGCATGCAGTAGAAGCATCAGGGGCTGTTAGAACCTCCAAGGACTCAGCAGGTATCCAGGAAAGGAGTCTGTTGAACAACCTGAGTCCCATCAAGAGAGCCGAGCAGGAGGTGGCAGTAGTGACCCCCCTGACACACACCTGGATGGGCACAGCTCAGAGCACACCCATTACTGACACAACTCACTGTCCAGTATACAACAGCAGAAGGAGGGGTTTGTTGTATCCCTCGGGGCCTGACCTTGAGATGCAAGCTGAGGACGGGGACAGCTTCACCTCGTATGAGAACATCTATGATGACGGGAAAACCTACGAAGATCTTTTGTTGGAGGTGTCCCGGATCTGTGGGGGGTCCATGGCTGAAGAAAACAATGAAACTCTGACAAATATCAGTCGCATTAATGTGGGAGATATTGTGTCAACTACTGAGAAGCCTGCAATAAGCATCTTACCTGGACCATCTCGAGCTGCCGATATAGGTGATGAGAGGTACTTTGCGCAGACTTTGATGTCTTCAGCCATGTCGGGGCGTTTCACGGGGGTTCACAAGAGTAGGCATGTGTTTGATGAGAGCACTGTAGAGATTGATCCTGAACCAAGTGCTGACATTCTTGGATTGGATAAGTTTATCTGCAGTGATCTTGATGATGATGAGGAGGAGGAAGCAGATTCTGATGATGACAATGCTACAGCTATATCTAGGTTAATTGTGTTAGATACGTATGATGCGACCATGACTGATTCTATTGTCCATACAGATCCAGTCAGTCAAAGTGTATTGCAGATTAACAGTAATAAGTGCTTAAAAGAAACGAGGGAGGATGGGTTCGGTTGTGCTTTGAGTAAGGTTGTGAGTTCACTGTCACACTCCAGAAGTAGTCTTACTAGCAAGGAATCAGGAGAGCTTAGTGATACGCTACTTGAAAGTGATGATTGTGCAACATCGCAGGCTACGCCTGTTAAGGCAGTACCCGTCAATATGAGAAAACGGAAACGGAAACTGTTGAGAAGTGATAGTGAAAGAGAGGAAGGAGAGTTGACCTCGACAGCCACTGAAGCATCAGCTAGTGAAGTGGAGGAACTGGATGCAACTCTTGTCAAGACAACTCTTGAGCAGGACATTTTGAAAGAAGTGACAGATGACATTTCTTTGACCGCCAAGTCTGAGCCTCATGGAGTTGCAGCTGAGCCTGCTGAACGTCCTTGGGAAGGTGGTGGAGATGCTGTTCCTGCTTCAGAGGCACCTGGAGCAGCAACTGAGGTACCTGAAACATCAACAACAGTATCTGAAGCATCCCTTGCGGTGCCTCAAGAATCTGCAGTGGCTCCTGCACCATCAACAGAGGTACCTGAAGCAACAACAGAGGTACCTGAAGCATCAACAGAGGTACCTGAAGCATCAACAGAGGTACCTAAAGCATCAACAGAGGTACCTGAAGCATCAACAGAGGTACCTGAAGCATCAACAGAGGTACCTGAAGCATCAACAGAGGTACCTGAAGCATCAACAGAGGAACCTGAAGCATCAAAAGATGTACCTGAAGCATCTACAGAGGCACTTCAAACTTTCAAAGAGCAACCTGAAGTGAAGGTTGAAGCTGGGCATGACGTAAAACCTGAACCCAAAGATAAAGCTGTGCTCCCTTCCCCAAATGTTCTGTGCGATGATTTTTTGTTGTCGTTAACAGAAGACGAGGATGATGTGAGGAGAGTTCTAGGTGAGAGTAAGAAGAATGTGGTCAAAACACAAGTGTCCACGTCTGTTGTTGAAGACTCATTGCTGATCTCAGGTAAACATGCTCAAAGTCAACGGGGGAAGACCGTTGCTTCTGAATCATTTCAAGAGTCTATGATTTCTGAGATTTGTGAGAAACTGATGAAGGAAAAGGATGTGACCAATTATGGGAGCTTCACTATCATTGATAGCCCGGGAAAATGTGTTGATGAAAGTTTTGTTGTTATTAGTGAAAGTGCTGTTTCTGCATCAAGTGATTTGGTAGATAAAGATGTTAAGAAAAACATAGTGATGATAAAGACTGAAGACCGAAGTAGTAGTGTGGCAGATGCAGAAGGAACCAAGAAAATAAGCAACACCAACATCGTGAAGGCCATGCCCCAAAACAGACCAGTTTCAGATGTGAAACAGGGCATAATTTTGAGCCCAATAACTGCACCCGAAACGAAAAAGACTAGCATTAAATCAGAAGCAAGGATTTACCCAACTGAGAAAAATATCCTTGAATATGAAACTGGCTTGATGAGAAGTGTGAGGCTTAAGTGGGGTAGTCAGGGAATTCATAGACCTGACAAAAATCTTACTTACAGCTCCTGGGTAAGGAAGACACGTACCGACAGAAAAGTGGAGCCGACTTACATCTTGGAGGGTAATAGCAAAGTTCCTCCCCTGTTCAGAAAGAAGTCTGTTCCAATATCAGAATGTTCAGAAACCACGTCAAGATCTGGGTCTCCAAAGCCAAAGAAACCACGGATACTTGGCACTCCTGGTAAGGCCATTGGAGACGGCACAAAGAGCATAAAATCCGAGCTACAGAAGCAGCTGACAGAAATACAAACGGAGGAGAAGAGGCTGTCGAACGTGATGACCATGCATCAAGAGGCATTCCTGAACAGACTGAGGGCGAAGCACGGAAAGATGTTCCAGGCACTCCGCACACAGCAGAACCTGGAGAGACGGCAGCTCTTTGCCACGTGCGGGGGATACATCAGTCCAGCTCTCACAGAGTACCAGATGATGCAGCTGAAGCAGGAGCACATGTTCCAGCTGAACCAGCTGGAGGCCGTCAACGGCATGGAGATGCAGAGGGGGTTTAACATTATCAACCAGGAGAGGCAGGCCCAGGCGAATAGGTTTCAGTCCTTGAAACTCCCGGCATGGGAGTCGATAAAAAAGTTTGAGGAAAACACTGCTAGCGGTGCCCAGATGGACGATGCTCACATCACTGTTGGTCTGTCCAAGGGTGCGCCATGTGGTCCGGGCGTTGAGAGGGACATAGTGAAGGTGTGTCTGCCTGTGGATGTTGCTGCGTTCATGATCAGGGAGGATGAAGTCTACGATGCTCACTATGTCGCCTGATCCTTCCCTCTGGGATGGACAATGTGACTTGTGTCACCTTTTAAGCATCATTGATTATCCAGCATGTGATATGACCATCCTATCAATATGAATACCCTGGACCAATTCTCAGAGATAGATACTATTCTGAAATAGTGAAAATCTAGCAGGAATAGTTGCCTTACTTTAACCACAAACCTGAAATGAGTTGTAGACGTGTCATCTTCCTGAGGCAAGGGCATTAACTGTCTATAAAAACCCAGTTTCCACCCTGGATGAACTGGGCTCAAATAAGGCATCTATGCATAGTCCAATCAACATTGTTGAACAAGCTAGACATCCGGTTCTAAAACCACATGATTTCAACGTGCAGATTTCGGTGGACTGCAGGATTTGCAAAGCGTGTGTACTGTCAACTGGTCGTCAACCGAATTTTCCAAATCCTTTATGCTTTTTTAATCAAGTTACTCAAGTGATTTGATGCACCTGTTTTATTACTTTATACCGCTGGAAGATTCTTGGGTAGAATAGGTCTTCAGCAACCCACGCTTGCCGTAAAAGGCGACTATGCTTGTCGTAAAAGGCGACTAATGGGATCGGGTGGTCAGGCTCGCTGACTTGGTTGATACATTTCATCGATCCCAATTGCGTGGATCGATGCTGATGATATCAATCACTGGATTGTCTGGTCCAGACTCGATTATTTACAGACCGCCGTCATATAGCTGTAATATTGCTGAGTGCGGCGTTAAACAACAAACCAACCAACCAACCAACCAACCAACCAACTTTATACATTTTGATTATCGATCAGATCGTCTTGACTGGGTGCCGCCATTTTGTATGAAGTAAATGCAAGTGATTTGAGAGGTGGAATATTATTGGTCCATAGGAGCATCATAAAAGGGACATTACTTATAGCCAATGGTGGCAATACAATCAAGCTAAGAAATTCCAGCTTAGTTCGGCAAGGGTGGAAACTGGGATTTTGTAGTCGGTTAACGATGTAGACGAGTTTGATATGACCAGAGGTGTTTACCCCTGTCATTCACCACCATTTTACACAGAATGTCTCATACATCAGTGGGATGTCTTTTGATGGCTACTGTTAAACTTGTATTCTGTTATTAGAATCATACTCAACACTAAAACTATAGAAGCAGATGGGTCCAGGGTATTCATCAGGATGGAATGGAGATGTGGTGCACTGGCTAATCAAGGATGCCTTTTAAATTGATATCAGTGCTTGATTTTTTATTTTATTCATCCAGATAAGATGCCAGTTTATCTGTATTTTGTTTTGAACAGGTAGTCCATGAAACAAATCTTAAGAATAATCATGTTAATCTTGGGAGCCCATTCAAAGTCTCCATTTGTGAATCTGGGTCTAAAAAGCTGGGTCTAAAGAGCCAACTTAAATTGGTATTGGATGGTCGGTGTTTTACGGACTGTGTGTCACGATTTCACTATGCTATGACATGGTTGACTGTGTCACATGGTTGACTGTCATGGTGCCACTATGAGGTGACATGGCTGACTGTGTCATGGTGCCACTATGAGGTGACATGGTTGACTGTGTCATGGTGCCACTATGAGGTGACATGGCTGACTGTGTCATGATGCCACTATGAGGTGACATGGCTGACTGTGTCATGGTGCCACTACGAGGTGATATGGCTGACTGTGTCATGATGCCACTATGAGGTGACATGGTTGACTGTGTCATGGTGCCACTATGAGGTGACATGGTTGACTGTGTCATGGTGCCACTATGAAGTGACATGGCTGACTGTGTCACATGGTTGACTGCCATGGTGCCACTATTAGGTGATATGGTTGACTCTGCCACTATGAGGTGATATGGTTGACTGTGTCATGGTGCCACTATGAGGTGATATGGCTGACTGTGTCATGATGCCACTATGAGGTGACATGGTTGACTGTGTCATGGTGCCACTATGAGGTGACATGGCTGACTGTGTCATGGTGCCACTATGAGGTGACATGGTTGACTGTGTCATGGTGCCACTATGAGGTGACATGGTTGACTGTGTCATGGTGCCACTATGAGGTGACATGGCTGACTGTGTCATGATGCCACTACGAGGTGACATGGCTGACTGTGTCATGGTGCCACTATGAGGTGACATGGTTGACTGTGTCATGGTTCCACAATGAGGTGACATGGCTGACTGTGTCACATGGTTGACTGTCATGGTGCCACTACAAGGTGATATGGCTGACTGTGTCATGGTGCCACTACAAGGTGACATGGCTGACTGTGTCATGGTGCCACAATGAGGTGACATGGTTGACTCTGCCACTATGAGGTGATATGGCTGACTGTGTCATGGTGCCACTATGAGGTGACATGGCTGACTGTGTCATGGTGCCACAATGAGGTGACATGGTTGACTGTGTCATGGTGCCACTATGAGATGACATGGTTGACTGTGTCATGGTGCCACTATGAGGTGACATGGTTGACTGTGTCATGGTGCCACTATGAGGTGACATGGTTGACTGTGTCATGGTGCCACTATGAGGTGACATGGTTGACTGTGTCATGGTGCCACTATGAGGTGATATGGCTGACTGTGTCATGGTGCCACTATGAGGTGACATGGCTGACTGGGTCATGGTGCCACAATGAGGTGACATGGTTGACTCTGCGACTATGAGGAGACATGGTTGACTTTCACATTGCCGCGATGAGGTGTCATGGTTGACAGCGCCACTATGATGTGACATGGCTGACTGTGTCGCGCTGCCACTATGTCATGGATCCTTCATGCTTTCCGTTACTGGGCAAGAGTCAATTATTTAGGTTGCTTGCATATTGGTGACTGTGGCATTAAACAACATGCACTCCCATGTTATCATGGACCTGACAGGTAGCTCGGGGTATTTTTTTATTTATTGACTTTTTTTTTTTATTATGTCTAACACAAATGGCTTGCACAGAAGTTACTCGCAAACTTTCTTGGATGTGTTGGTCAAAATAGCTGAAGCTGCAAAAAGCTGATTTTTTTGGGTAAAAAATGTTAAAGAAGGGTATCTTATCTCTATTTCCACCTGTGATATAAACAATGGGTCAGTCAGGTTACCTGAAACATGTTATTTTTTATTCCTTATGCACCCTAAAGAAGTGTTTAGATGTTTTGAAATGGTGAGAATGTTATTTCACCCGTAAACGAAGCCTGATTTTTTTTTATTAATTTTGAACTTGTGAACTTGTACAATTATTTGGATAGAACGTACATGAGTTCATACTGTTACACAGCTAAAGCATGTAAATTACGCTTATGCTATTTGACATCATAGTTTTTTATGGTTCTAATTAGCTTTGACAAAATCAGCGTGCATTTACTGGATATTCCATAGTTTTTTAAACATATGGTTGTTCTTCAAAGTAATATGCAAGTAATCAAAGTATGCAATTTAATGGTTTTTAAATGAATGGAGTCATATAGTGTGTATTTAGTCAAAGCCTGTTCTTTAGTAGTTTACCACCAAAACAACTTAAGTGCAGCCCCCTTTTTGTTTGCATATTTATGCCAAACTACCATTATCTTTCAAAGACATTTACATCACATTCGTTTCCCATTTGCATAGATCGATGCTCATGATGTCAACCACTGTATTGTCTGGTCCAGACTCCACTATTTACAGACCACCATCATATTGCTGGAATATTGCTAAGTGTGGTGTCAAACAACAAACAAACAAACAAGAACAAAAAATAAGATTCTCCTCATTCTGATTAAGGTGAGGGCATGGGTGGCCCAGTTATCTAAGGCCGCGATTCACTGTGCAGAGTTTCGTCCCTTGGGCATGCCAGAAACCTATGATTGTGGGTTAGAATCCCGGTTTGCCCCGATTATGTTTCTAGGTTTGTCAGCACCATACCCGTGCTCGTGGGTTTCACCGAATTGGTAAACATCTGAGACCTTAATCACTTCGGGCTTTCCTCCCACATTAAGCTGACAAGCCACGATATGACTGGAATACTGTTAAAAGAGGCGTTAAACCCAACTCACTCACTCTGATTAAGGTCTTAAATAATGTGGATAACTGTTGGCGAGTTGACGCAAGGGCACTGTGTGTTTGTCCCTCTGGTCCCAAGCACTATTACAATTCCTGTGTAACACTTTCGAAACATGTCATTAGATAATCGAAATTGGTTTCTGTATTTCAATGTTTGTCTCTTGGCAGTCTCTTTAAAATCAGGGATGGTTGGGTAGACTAGTAGTTAAGTATTCGTTTCCTACCCCAAAGACACAGGTTTGATTGCCCCTATGGGTACAATGTGTGAAGCCTATTTTTGGTGTCCGCTGCCATGATATTACTGGAATATTACTAAAAGTGGCGCAAAACCATACACACTCACTCACTCATTAAAATCAGATCATTGACTCCAATATGGTACCTGTCTGCTTGAAGATCTGACTACTCTGGGCCCTCCACAGGAAGCATTCAGACCAGCATATCCAATTTTTATATCTAGAAAACAAACTGTACAGATCAGGTCTGAATGTAAATAACAAAAGTCATGCCATTCTATTCATGTGGATAATTGATACACCTTGGTGTTTCCAAATGCCATGCAATCTGCACCCAAAAGGGGATACATTAAAGGAATACTTCTGTTTTCTGTGGGTTTTCTTTTTGTACAATTCAAAACTTCCAAATAGAGGTGGTAAAGGAAGGAAGCAAAATCATCTTGAAGAAGCTGACATCTTTTTGGCTCATTTAGTTTGGGTGGTCGAAGGTCGCTCAAGGGCGTCAGATCTTCATGCAGAGAGAGGTATCATGTCTGACTGAAAGGTCTGATTTTGCAGACAAAAGCAAAGAAAATTGATACGGGATATGATTTGAAAAGGTGGCTGTATTCTATGGAAATATATGATAAAGGTTGTTTAACTTTTTCCCCAGTGTGTTTGTAACAGAAGGCTATTCTTTGGTTGCCCACTTGGACTTTTGTGATGACCAACTTTACAGCTCTGTTTCTTACGATCTTTACAAACTATTTTCATCAATGTAATATTAACTGATGAAAGTTTAGGTCCACTCTAAACATATTTCTACAAGTTCCATAAATACGTCTTTTCAACAGAACTCCTACTTCATGGTATATTGTAGTAATGTTTAGATCAAGAGGCTATTGACTATTGAAGTTCATGTATTGTCTGTCTGTCTGTAAATCTGTAAATGTCTAAGACCTGTACCAATTCATACTTTCCTCCCAATTTAAGCTGACCCAGAGATATGACTGAAGTTCTGATCAAAATGGTGTTCAACCAAACTCACTTCCTCCCCTTAAGTTTGTGAGACAAACCATTGAATTAGACTGAAGTTGGGTCATGTGACTTAAATATCTCTTCATTTGCATCACTATTTTACATAACAGGTATTGCAATGGGTCGCCATGCTTGGCATCATGTCCACGTTGACAGGGGCGGCCAGGTAGCCTAGTGGTTAAAGTGTTCGCACGTCACCCTGGAGACCTAGGTTTGATTCCCGACATGGGTACAATGTGTAAAGCCCATTTCTGGTGTCCCCTGCTGTGATATTACTGGAATATTGCTAAAAGCGGCGTAAAACCATACTCACTCACTCACTCACTCACT